GCCGTAGCCGTGGTGTCACCTGAGGTGGCAGCCTCCCCCTCCCGCTCCCTTTCCCTCTCCTGTGCCTCTGAGTAGCCCGGGAGCTGGTGACAGGCAGCACTGAGCTCACCACTGGTTTAGGGGCTGCTCTTAGGACAGGGCTCTGAGCCTGCTGTCTGTGCGGAGGACAAGCTGGCATTTTCCTTGGGCCCCCAGGCCATCTGGAGCAGGGTCCAGGGCCAGCTTGGCCACCTTGTGGTCTCTTGACAAGGCAAGGCGGTGGTCTAGTGGGTGGGCTGTTGATGGAGCGATCCCACGGGCAGCAGGCGGCTTCGATGTGGCCCCTGCGTGCGCGTGCGTGTGCGTGTGCGCGTGCGTGTGGAGGGTCAAGCCCTTTACAGGAAGCACCGTCGTCATCTCTTACCCAAGATGTTCTTGGAAGTGCTCTTGCCCTGAGTGAGAATTAGGAAACGGCTGCTATTTTAGGAGCTCGGTGTGTGTTTCATGCTGCTCGCTCGTGACAGTCTTGCTCGGCCGGGGCCCTTTGAAAAGGTCATGTTGGCAGAGGAGGGGCCGAGGGGGGCAGGGGCGTAAGGAGGCAGCTGGGAGGAGGGGAGCCCTGCACCGCCAGGTTACCTCTAAGAACCCACCTGTCAGGTGTGGCAAGAGGGGCCCAGGGTGCAGTGCGGCAGGAGAACAAGGACGTCCCAGGGAGCCACGGACCTGAGGTGCCTGCACCTGCCGGCAGCTCCTGGGACCTGGCGGAGAGCAGGCCCAGGGGAGCCCGGGGGAGCAGGCCCAGGGCCCGGGGGCTGCCCTCTCAGGGAGCGGGGAGGCGGAGCCGCCGTGCTCACTGTGCACCTTTCCTCTTCCCGCAGGCCTCTGGCTGTACCTGGCCGGCAGCGGCCTGCCCTGCCTCACCTTGATTGGCTCTCCTAATTTTGGGTACAGGTCGGTGCACCGGGACCTGGAGGCCCAGATCGCCATCGTGACGGAGAGCCAGGCCCTGCAGCAGCAGCTGCACCAGGTGGGTCTGCAGGTGGGGTTTCCCCAGGGAGGGGGGTGCTGGTGCCTTGAGGGCACTGAGCAGTGAGGAAGCACCGGAGCCCTCGCCAGGCAGCGGAGGGGGTGCACCCAGCGGCCAGCTCTCCTCGGCTGCTTCCTGGAGGGAGAGATTGGTTCTCCCCAGCCTCTCCCAGGAACGCGGGCCCACTGGACGGTTGCGAGGGGAGGAGCCAGGCTTGCTCGGGTCCTGGCCTGTTTGGGAGGAGCTCAGGCAGCACCCCATCATTTCAGGAAAAGACCCTCCCAGAGAGTGGGGAGGGAGAGGCAAGAGGAGGGTACTCCAGGCGGAGGGGCCGGCAGGGAGCAGCATCCGCAAGGGGAGCCGGAGAGGCCGGAGACAGGAGGCTGTCCGCAGAGATGGGGGTGCGCTGCGGGGGGCGGGGGCGGTGCTCACGGGGCTGATGCCCCCGCTCACACATCTCTGTGCCCTGGGCCAGTCTTTGCACCGACGGTTTGGACTGTCTATTTCAGGTCGTTTCCCTGGGTGGTGGTCTGGCTTGGCTTGGTTGGGGATTGAGGGCCTGGAGGTGTGCCAGGCCGGAGCTGGGCTCCTTGTGGCAGGCGTGCAGGGTCTGGAGGTGGGCACAGCAGGACCAGGGAGCTGCCTGCCCCGTAGGAAGGGGCGGTGCTTGCACAGGGCCCTGCCCTCCCTGTGGCGGCAGGTGTTTCGGTGTCGGGGGGAGAGCAGAGTTCCTGGGAGAGCTAGTGCCTTCACCGTTTGTGCCGTCAGCGGGGACAGTGCAGGCAGACTTTCGGGAACTGAGCACCGGCCATGCGTCCGAGACCTGGCGGTACTCGCGCATTTGAGGCCTTCCCAGCGTCGCCTGATGTGGCGCAGATAGCACCGCGGTGGCCGCCCAGAGCTCGCTGGTCTCGGAAGCCTTTATTCTCGGTTTGGGAATTGCTGTTGCGAAACTGGGAGCCTTTGTTGAGGAGGAAGTGGCCCGGCCGCGTCCCTGGGATCTGCCCTGCAATCCGGGGACCGCGGTACCGGGAAGGCTCCGCGAAGGGCGAGAGGAAGTGGTAGCGGCCGTGGTCCGGGTGAGCCCCAGAATCTGCTCAGCTCAGCAGGTTTCTGCCGCAGGCCCAGCGGGGGCGGCTGGTGCCGCTTTCGGGGTGACTGGCCTGGACTTCTGCCTCCCTGTGCGGAGCCGGCCTCCATAGGAGCCTCAGGCTGGGAGGTCCAGCCCCAGACGGCGGAGTCGTGCGTGTGAGCTTGGCCTTGGGCCAGGACAAGGTCTCCGTGGTCCAAGCTGGTTGGGGGAGCATGACCCCCAGGCTTGGCCCTGGGTCCTGGGACTGGCTCTGCACCCCACTTCCTGAGGAAGGGGACGGAACCCACATCCTAGTTCTCGAGAAATGCTGGCGGTTGTGGTTGGAGCTGCTGTCCCAGGGGCATGGTTGGGATAGTTTCTGTTTCCAAACCTGACTCCCTGGGGCATGGCCTGTGGGGGTGGCAGCCCACCCCGCAGAGGTTCCTCCGTCCTCAGGCACACTGGCGTGCAGAAGCGTGTTTCTAGAGAATTCCGCCTGTGTCTGTGTCTTGGGACTGCGGCCGCCCCCGGGGAGGCCCGGGACTGCTCAGCCACGGGCCTCAGCACAGCCCAGAAAGTCCCTGAAACCCGCTGCCGGCCCGCGCCCAGGCTCATGGAGCTTCGTGGGAGGGAAGGCCCGGGTCACGCTGGGCACCGTGGGGGAGACATTGTGTCGGAGCCCGAAGTCCCTCCCTTCGCTGAGCACCGACAATAAAGCGGAAAGCTTCCTGGCTTTGTTCGGAGAACATGGTTTACCCATCGTGACCCCAGAACAGCCTTGGGACCCGTCAGCTGACTTCCTTCTCCTGCGTGGAGTCTGCGAGGAAGCCTGAGGCTTCTGCTCATTTATTGAGTTCTTGGCTGCGCATTCATTGAAGCAGAGGCTGAGCCGGTCTGTGGGGACCTCTCAGACCAGCCTCCCGAGACGGACGCTGCCTGTCCGTCAGGCCCTCAGTCAGCGCTGGGGCCCTCGCAGCAGCCGCC